AGGATAAGTGGAACGAACAATTCCTCGGGGACTTTACGCGCCCGAGGAGTGTCGAACGAGCCCCTTTGCCTGTGTCGCCCTTGAGATTCAAGGGCGCACCCTTGGGACACAGAAAAGTGAAAACAAAGCGGATCACTCTAACCCTTGGGACACAAAAAAGTGAAAACAACGCGGACCTCTCTAACCGGGGGGGGGGGTGGAACGATGAATGATTTTTCGCTTCCCTCTTGAACTCAAGTGGTGTGGAACAAGGCCCATATACCTCTCTCCTTTTTTTTTTGCCTCCAGGCGTGGGGACCTTCTAGAGACGTTTTACAATGACTTGCTGGCGTTTTCAATCTCGTGCGGCCTTTCGTGACACATACAGACCGTGGATGGAGATTGATATCCACCGCCCGCCGGCCTGTTTCTGAAACGTCACGTGAAGTTTCGTGGCCGGGGTGTCGACCAATCCAATCCGCCGCATTCTAGACTAGAAAGGCTTACTTCTTTCTTTTCATTTTTTAATTCCAATTCCACTGTTCATCCGTCCGTTGCATTTTTGTTTTGCCCATGTTTTAGATAGGGGGTGATTTTGCGCCCTTTCCTTGTTGCTTCCTCCTTGCTTCCTCGTTGCATCTCTTTTTTTTTTTTTTTTTTTTTTTTTTTTTTTAAGAAGTGGTGAGCGTAGTGACTCTTTTTCTCACAAAACAGCAAATTTGGTGTGTGCTTTGTCGGCCGGCTCAGCTCTACGATCTGAAGCAAACACCGAAAACCGATTTCCATCACAGAAGATCTCGTTCATCCCCATACAGACGAGGATCCAAGTACGACCGTCCGCCACCGTCCATTGCACTGTTCCGCGCTCGTGCCATTCGCAGGAAAAAAACAGAACCTTCAAAAAAAAAAGGGAAAAGACATCGAAATGCCTACACTATTGTTCAAAGCTGACCAAACTTACAGAAAAAAAGAAAATTTCGATACCAAGCTAGCTACTTCAAACAACGACAAATAAAAAAAGCTAGCTATCTCCAACAACCACATATAAAAAAAGCTAGCTACTTCAAACAACAGCAAAAAAGAAAGCTAGCTCGCGTTCGGGAGAAACTTGTAAAAAAAAAAAAAAAAAAAAAAAAAAAAAAAAACAGCTAGCTACTACCAAAATCAACAAATGAAAAAAGCTACTTCGGCACTCCTCTACTCTTCTCCACCTGATCGCGAGCCCCCTATCTCTTCTGTAACGATATACCCTCCCCCCCTCCCCTCCCCCAGCCTCCCCCTTCTCCTGCTACATTCTGCAACAGCGGCTAACAAAACTTCAAAAATGAGATCAATTACTTAGGTCGCGATCGGGATCACGCTGCCAAGCTAGTAGTTCCCGCACTCTTCTGCTCGCTGTAGTGTCAGCCTTGTCGTCGTCATCGGCGGCATCCCCATCGCGACCCCGATCCCCGTAAGGATAAACCCCTCCCGCCAATGGAGGCACGTCCGACACGTCAGCAAGGTCCAGAAAGTGTCCACCTTCCCCAACATCATCCGAAACAGCAAATTTCTCCGCTTCCAACATTTTAGTCCTCCCTTCTTCTTGTTCTCCTGTACCACCTTCTTCCTCTCCTTCTCCTCCCTCCTCCTCTGCGGCCTGTTGATGACGGTAATCGTCGGCTGATGATCTCCTCCGATAAGAAGATTTCACGCGTGTAAACATCTCTTCAACGTACGTTCTGACTTCCGGCAGAGTGTCCGCCTGCACAGCTTTTTCTGGAGACTCTGCAGCTGCTTCAAAGAAAGGCTGCATGATCTTCCGCAGGAGAAGCTGCACATCGTAGTCCCGGAGATCGTTTGCATCTATCCCCCTCAGCGTCTCGATGGCTCTTTGGCTGTCCCCTGCGGACACGTAGGCATTGAGCAATCTAATGCGAGTGAAGACCGTGAATGGCAGTCCTTCTTTCTCCATGACTTTGCCAACCTCTTCGGCTTTGTCGGCATTTCCCATGCCCTGGCAGCAATCAATCAACGCCTCGAGACCAATCCGCGAAGGACGGACTCCCAACGTTTTCATCACGTCGAGAACAGCAAATCCATCATCGACGTCTAGCCATCGAACCCCGCCAGAATCTTTCGAGACGGAAGAACAATTGACCAGCAGCTGATCGAACATGACAGCTTCGTTCTGTCGACCTTCGGTCGGAATCAATTTCAAAAAGTCCAACGCTTTCTCCAGCTGACTATTCCGTATACACGCGGTAAGGAGAATGGTGCAGCGGCCGTAATAGTAAACATCACGGTCGTAAGGAGAAATATCTAGGGAAGAATTAGGGTTTTTCATGTCCTCGAACATCTCGAAGACGGCGTCCAACTCGCCAATCCTTCCTAACTCGACCATGAGACGAGAGACAGCCCCTGGTTTAGGCCAAGTATCTTTAGCCCTCATCTTCTTATACAGCGCCAGGCCTTCGTACGGCATACCCTGTGCGGCAAGAGCGAGCAACAAGGCACTGCCGACCACTCTGTCGGGATTCTCTCCCCGTTTCTCCATCTCCTCAAACACCTCCAACGCGCGCTTCGTCTCCCCCGATCGCGAACACGCAGTCAACAACGTGGCATCCACGTTACTTGAGGGTTTGATCCCTGCATCTATCATCTCCTGGTAGATCTCAAAAGCCTTGTCCACATTCTTCACGATTCCACACGCGCGTATGAGCAACGCGTACGTGACGTCGTTCGGTTCCACACCATCCATCTTCAAGTCCTTCAGCACGCTCAGTGCTCTATTCAACTGACCTCGGGCGCCAAATGCCGCGATCAGGGGATTGTAACTATACACGTTCCTTGTCACACCTTTCTTGACCATTTCCGCTAGAACGGCGTACGCAGATTCCACCTGGTCCGACGTCGCACACGCATGGATAAGCGTGCTGTAGGTGACAACGTTAGGAACCACTCCTAATCTCTCCATCGCTCCCAACAGCTCAAAGGCTTCGTCGATCAATCTAGCTCTGGCAAACCCACCCAGAATGGAGTTAAACGTTCGCGTGGTTAGGTTAAGCCCTGCGCGCTTGGCCTCGTCGACAAGATCGAGAGCTTTCATCATATTGCCATGCCGGCAGGCGCTGCTGATCATAATATTATACGACACGGAGCTTGGCTCCGCCCCCGTCTCCTCCTTCAATCGCTGCATTACTTCCTTGATCTCTTCCACAGAATGGTTCTTGCCGAAGGCCGTCAGGAACAGGTTCATCGCGTACGTAAGCTTCGAATCTGTCGTGCTTCTCCCTGAACCCCCGGACCGAACGATCCCCTCCCCTCCTCTTGCTCCTCCTGCCTCCTGCTGATCGTCAGGAAGAGTATGATGATGATGATACCAGCCGCCGCCGCCAGGAGGAGCGTTGTTGCTATCATTATCGGTGCTGCTGCTGTTGCGCCTCCTGACAGGTCTCGACTCAAGATGGTTCTTGAGAACGAGCATGTATCGAGCCGCTGCGTCTGTCAGTGCCCGCTGACCAAGCGCGCCGAAGAACGTCGCCATGCATCGCTCATCCCAAAGGAGGGGAGGAATCACCTGCTCTAATCCGTCGAAAACTTCCGCTTTCACGCAATGTTCCATCAACAACTCGTAGACGGCTTTGTTGAAGTCCCAGCCTTGACAAATGGCATTCCGCAGCGTTATCAGGGCCTTGTCTGGGCGCCCAGCTCGGATCCAACCCCATACAAGTGCCGTCATAGCGATGGACCCGACTCGAGATCTGCCCACCAGCCGGGATACCGTTTGCACCTCCATCTCCACCCGATCTTCGACCATCCAACGCACCACATCCGTCAGTTCGCTCGTCATTGCCAAGGTCGATAACGGTCCAAGTAACGGCAGGTACACGATGAAGTTGCGAGGAGGTCCGGAGGTGCGCATATGAGACAGGAGATGAAGGGCATCAGCCACCGCTCGCTTGGCATTGCCATCTATCAGCTCGCCGTGATTGATCACCCTCACCCTCTCCTGCCCTTTTCTGATTCTTGACGTAATTACAGTCAAAGGGGTCACGTTGATGATCCTCGCACACGCCTTGACGGCCGCGCCATACGTGGCAACGTCCGGAATAACTCCCGCCTCCACCATTCTTCGAAAAAGTGGTACCACGTAGAGCGATCCTTGAAAGGATCCGCACACGTCGACCAGGTTCTTGTACGTCACGGATTGGAACAAGGGGCTTGCAAACCCCCCTACTTTCGTCATCCTCCCTCCCTGCTGCTGTCCTGTTTCCTCGGCCACCAGTCGGTCGTGCATAACCAACATCTGATCAAACTGCCTAGCTCTCGCCAGCGTGAAGAGTGCATTCACATTCGCCGGAGGAAAAGGTACAGGACGAGAATCCTTGAAAGAAGCGCGAGGGGACGATGAAACTACCGAAGAACAAGTAGTAGAAGAAGAAGAAGAAGAAGAAGAAGAAGAAGAAGAAGAAGGAAAAGAAGAAGAAAAAGAAGAAGAAGAGCAGGTGTTATTCCTCATTTCCTCCGCTTTTTCGTTTGCTTGTTTGTCAATGCCAAGCCCTAGATTGCTCTCTTGATGGTTATCAGCATCATTTACAACAACTCTGCCGGACGCCATCGCCGAGTCCTCGACGTTCTGAACATGGGCAGACGAAGAAGAGTACGTCGAAGCCGCTACGCAGGATTCGGCTTGGGAGAACGATGCAGTCAAAAATCGAGATACCGATCTGGGTAAACCGCCGTCAGAGGAAATGCCGCTAGCACAGAATGGGAAAGTCCAGTTGGTCCTTCTATACATAAACCGCACATCAAATGTCTGATCAAACGTGCGGCTACAGATGCTACTGCTGCTACTGACAAGCCTTCCCCCTATGAAAGTAGACCTTCCCTGATTGGTTCCCGCCTGCTCCCGATCGCATTCGGCGAGTGGGTAAAACCCTTCAGACAAACGAGGACGAGAAGATGAGCAGCAATGGAGGACAGGCAAGTCAATCCCCATCATAGCGGGGGTTATGACAGCAGCTATCCCGCCGGCGGCGGATGGACGTTGTAGCGAGTTAATTTTCCTCGGGTATGAAGGCCAAAAGACCTTCCTCTGCGTTGAAACCCCCCTATTATTATTATTATTATTATTATTCATAATACTATTGTTATGATTACTACAATCGCCGAGACCCATCGGACTGTAATAAAGTTGATGGGCCTCAGCGCATCTCTCATTCAGGCTGCCAAGCACGCCCTTAGCAATCCTCTCTCTTCTCCTGTCGATACTTACCCTACGCCTAAATGGATAACCGCAGCGTCGTAGAAGAGAAGGGCCCGCCTCGCCGCAAGCTCCGCCCGCAGAGGCGGGGGCGACGGGGGCAGCCGGAGCGGCATGATTTGAAAGGGAGCCATATGAGAGCCAATCCCCTCCCTCCAGAAGCTGCTGCCCTCTGGCTCTTCCCCCCCAGAACTGCGCGGGAACATTCCGTGATATCCTAGCCCCAGGGTAATCGGTATGCAGACACGTGTCAACGGCTGGTGCTGGCGATGAAGTAGCAGCAGCTGTAGCTCTGGACGACTCTCCTGCCCTTAAAGCTCCGGCATTCCCCGATATTCCCGCCAAATCCGATCCCGATCGACCACATAACTTGGCCAGGGCTCGAGAATGAATCTCCAACGCATCAACTCTACTCTCTCTGCGGCCAGAGCGGAGCCGATCAGCCGACAATTTGCCACCAAGCAGACTGTCGGTGCATCGAACGGCCTGGCCTAGTGCACGCGCCGATGAGCGGGATCCACGTCTTGTCATCATCCTTGCCGCGTGGCCTTGCAGACGCCGTAGCGGCTAGAATGACGAAGGGGGGAGGAAGGGAAGGAGAAGGGGGCGAAGGGGGAGGAGGAAGGGAAGGAGAAGGGGGCGAAGGGGGAGGAGGAGAACGAAAACGAGAAGGAGAAGGGTGGGAAGGAGGAAGAGGAGGAGGAGAAGGAGGAGGAGGACGTGGAGGACGTGGAGAACGGATTGACTGAACCCGAAAACCACCTGGGTCTCCTTCGAGTTCCCTCTCCACCGCCCGTCGTTGACGCTCTGTTCGGGCATGAACCGCATTCTCTTAGTTCGTACGAGTCAATGACATGAGCTGCACATCATCACCGTCGATCCCTGCTCTGCCCACCCCCGTCACAGATTTTCTGTGCAACAGAGCATCTCTGCAGGCGACATCAGCGTCCTCAGGAAAACTGTCTGTCCCGAGTTCCATCCCGTACAAGGTCCCTCTGCGGTCCCAGGGTCAAGCCCCCCCATAATGTCGCGAAGCAACGACAAGGATCTCAGGCCGTAACTTGCCGCCGCCGCCGCTCCTCGTTCCGTCGATCATTCGACCGATTGATTGATCAATTTATGAAATGATGACGTGGCAGTCGCGGCCGGATTGACACGTGTTCGCTTGACAGAACGACAAGCGGATTCGAGCATCTTTCCTGTGGCTTCGGTTGGGTTCTCCGGGGGTTGAAAAAAACGTTCCGCGCAATGAAAAGAGGCCGTAGGTTGAGGAATAAGGCGGACATGAATGAACGCACCCCTCCTCGATCGCGCACACGAGAACTATGCCACATGTATGTGACTGCAATTACAGCCACACCTGCATGGCACATGACCGCAATCACGTCCGGAGCTCAGTCCAAGAAGTCCTAGTGTGAATAGGCCCTTAGTTACCCGCCATAACTCCGAGAGCGTGTGTACATGACCGGCCTTTACGAACCTTTCGCTTTGGCGCGCTGCTTCGTGGCCGCCGCTCTTCGATTTCCAGGCCGCAGTCAGTGTCATCGAGAGGCCAAGAGCTAGGGATGGGTGCCACGTGGAGACCCTAATTTGATGTCAGCGCGCCTGAAGCAACGCCAGTGATTTATTGCACCCCCTCGCCAGACGATCATTCTCCTCTCGTTCCTCCTAGACGGAAGTGAAGGTCAGGATTGCCAAGCTGCTGCGGCGTCAAAACCGGGGAAGACCAGGGGTATCGCCGCACCACTCACCAAATGTGAAAAATACGAAAACTATGGCGGGTGTATATTTGCCGCGTTGCAGGGCCAGATGTGGTTTGTGTGCAGGAAACCCACCTAATGGACACACCCGAACATCAGAGAGAGCACAGCCACGCCTGGCCCTTCAAAACGTTCAAGGCACATGCCCCGAGTGCCGGACACGCGGGAGTGGCAATCTGGATACCGCCAGACTCACGTTTTGAGGCCGTCTATTGGGAGACAGATAAGGTGGAAGGGAGGTGGGCTATGGTGCTAGGCACATTAGAATTGGAAATGATATGTGTCCTGATGATATATGCACCCAACTCCATAAGAGAAAGAAGGATCTTTTTTGAAAAAATCAAACAGATCCCTCCACCGGGCATCCCCATAATTCTAGCCGGAGACTTCAACGCCGCCCCAGCTCGGTGGCTCGACCGATGGAAGATTACCCCCTCCACAGTACACAACGTGGAAGAGGACGAAGGAGTCTTAACCGAACTATGCGAATCTTTGGCAGTCTTCGACACCTTTAGAATGGCGCACCCCACTGAGAGGAACTTCACCTGTATCAGAGATAACAGTCCCGAGAGACTATCTAAATCACGAATTGACTTGATTCGCGCCTCATAAGAACTGACAGGAGGGTTAACAGTACCAGCAATCCTACCCCTCAGCCCCTTTTCTGGCCTGGACCACAAAATGTGCATAGCCGTGTTCACCTTTCTCATGCGATCGGATAAGGGGCCGGGCTTAATACCTCACTTCTTCAACTCCACTCCTTTCGAAACTACATAGCCCAAAGTTGGCAGTATTGGAAGGAGAGGAGGCCGGAGCTGAATTCTCAAATCACCTGGTTTAACAATGGCCTCTTCTTCATTACCAGAAAATGCAAGGAATTTTCCAAATATGTAGCCACACAACGCTTTCAACAAGAATTCAAAATTATGCAGCAACTTTGCGATCTGGAACAACAAGAAAATTCGGATGCACAGGAACAACGAGACCCTGCACTTCAACACCAAATCAAGAACCTCCAAACACAACTGTCACAACATGCGTTATACAGATGGCAAGGAACCAGAATGCGAGGCAGACTGACAAAACACACGACCGAAGGAATGATGGATTCCCACTTTTTCAATCTAGCGAAAGTACAGATAAAACGCGCTACGGTCGAAGCCTTATATGATCCAGATGAACCAGAGGGGACGCCAGCATTAACAACAGTCCGTTGCATGAAGATCACACGGGATTTCTTCAAAGATCTATTCTCATCCCACATTGACATTGTGGACAAGGGCACACGTCACAGAATGATCGACGACTTCCTACAACCTATGGAAAGAAGACTCTCCCAGGAACAACGAGATCAATTAGAAGCCACCCTCTCCAAACAAGAAATATGGACTGCACTCTTACAGATGAAGGAAGAAAAAATGCTCGGAATGGACGGTCTCCCTAAAGAGTTTTGGGAAACCTCGTGGGATTTTATGAGTGCAGATCTGATGGAGTACTACAACGAAGTTTGGAAAGAGGCGAAGATGGGGGAGTTGGTAGGGCAAGGGGCGTTATCCTTACTATATAAAAAAGGGGACAAATTAAACATCAGGAATTACCGCCTGATTACGTTACTCACCATTGTCTAAAAAATGCTAGCTAAGGCTTTAGCCAACAGAATGATCCCGGTACTGGAGGACATCATTCACCCCTCCCAGACTGGATTCATGCAGGACAGAAACATACAGGAAAACGTTCTGCTGGTACATGAAGTACTACAGCTGACCAGGCATTCACAGCACAATGCTGTGATCATCTTCATAGACTTTGAGAAGGCATATGACCACGTAGACTGGCTTTTTTTCAAAACATGTCTGGAGAAGATGAATTTCGGACCGCACTTCAGAAGGTGGGTCAGAATCCTCCACCAGAATGCAACTAGATGCATGCAGATCAATGGGACATTGACACCCCCCATTCAATTAGAACGATCGGTGCGTCAAAGAGATCATATTGCCCCCTTCTTGTTTCTGATCATTATGGAAGCCCTGGCGGCGAACCTGCGGGCAAACAAAAATATATCTAGAATTCGGGTCTCCCACATCCCCGAGGAAGTTGTCCCGGTATGCTCCCTTTTTGCTGACGACTTAACGATAATGGTTGATGCAACTAGGCAAAATATGGAGGAAATTCACCACATGATGGACAGATTTGCACAGATCTTGGATATGAAGATAAATTGGGGGAGTAAAACACAAGGCTGGTGGATCCATTACTAAGGCGGCCGCCCGCGGCCCTCCAGAGACACCAAGAATCAGGTGGCTACCGTTGGAAGCACCCTTACGTATTCTAGGGATAACCATGACCGCACAAGGCAAACCGATTACAAATGATGTCTGGATCAGCTCCTCGGCCTTGAACAAATTGTCTGGATGAAATTTAAGACAACCGCCTTCCTTTGGCGAGGAGACGGCGAATGCACCCACGTGATCAGTCAGGTAGCATGGGACTCAGTCACACAACCAAAGGCAAGCGGGGGACTGAGGATCATCGACCCAACCATCCAGTGGATCAAAAAATTATTTTTTTCGCCCTGAAGTCCTTGGACTGTACTAGCTCTAGAACATATGTCCCGCCTAGCACCGGAATCCCCCCAAGGAACCCACCCATTGCGATGGATATATGACAGATTCTGGGTTACCAAAGAGGTCTCTGGACCACCAACACGGAGGAGAGCAGACGGGCCGACAGGAGGATGAGTTATGGTCAAAACTCCTCAAAACCTGGCGCATACTCCTGCTTCCATACAGAACCCCCCCGGACCGTTGGGAGGAGGTCTTCCGTCAGCCCCTTTTTGGGAACAGATGGATCACAGATACAAAAGGACGTGTAATGGTGAGTTCAGTCCCACCATGGGAAGGCTGGGTAAAACGGGGGATCCTGCGAGTGGGGGACCTATGGGACAGCGAGAGTAAGAACTGGAAAGGCATTGAACAACTAAGAGCAACACTCAGATACTGTCACCACATAGGGTGTCACCTAGATCAGCTAATTGAAAGCATCCCCTTGGCATGATATCAAATACTGAGACAGGGCCCATCAATAAAAGAAGGGGACTGGGTGGCTCACATTGGACAGGTAGGGAGAGTTGGTAGAGTATATATGACAGACTCACAAAAAGCCTTAATAGAATACTATACTGTAGAACAGAAGGGCACCCTCAAAGGAAGTGCAGCCCCTTTCCAATGGGTGGACAAAACATAACTCATTAGAACCAGAGTGTTGGATGAAGGAAAGGGGTGGTCAGCCTTACATCCAGACAAAGACATTCGGGACTTGCCTTTTGACCTAGAGGAGTGGCGTTGGAAACTTCCACAGATTCAAACAGGGCATACCCCGAAATGAATTTATCTACATAAACTGACAGTTAAATCCACTTATAGGATGCTACGGCCCAAACGTTGCCTGAAGGATCAAATAAATGACCGTTGGGCGAGACATTTAAATGTGGATCTGAACCTTCTCAAACCCATCCGCTGGTTCCATGAAAGGAAGTCCCGACAGGCTAAAAT